ATGAATACACAATGCTTGGGGAAAACGCACACAGATACTAGCGTATGAAATGATTCGCTACTTCATTAGCAATCAAGGAATGAAAATTAAAACAGTCACTCCCCACGCTCACATTGGCAGAAACTTTGGGCTCCTTGGTGAGGAGTTAGGATGCCCAAGCCAGCAGCCAGTGCTTCTCTCCCAGGGTCAGGACAGATCTCACTGAGCTGCCTCACTGGACAAGGACACTCCAGCCACTGCCTGCAATAGCAAACATCAGCAGCAACCTAAAAGTCCATCAGCAAGAGAAAGGACAAACTGTTCCTTCTTACCAAAGAATGCTTTAAATGCACTAAAGCTATAAACCTGAAACAACACGGTCAAATCTCAAAAACAGTGTTGAATCAAAAAACATGTAGAATAACACACAAATGATACGCGGTATTCTATAATGTATGTGCCCACATGTTTTTGTTTATTTGTTCTGGGCTTTTTGAGACAGAGTCTGCTATGTAGTTCAGGCTGGATTTGAACTCGCTAGGTAGCTCAGGCTGGCCTGAATCTGTGGCGATCCTCCTGCCTCAGCCTCCCAAGTTTTAGGATTACAGGTGTGAGTACCACACCCGGCTCAGGACTCAAGTTTAGTAAAGGCACAAAACCATGCATGGAAAAGTCCCAAAACCAATACAGTGATTTCATCTAGGGTAGGAAGAAAATGGGACTGGAGACGGGGCTTTGACTGTTCCGGCATAGGTAAGCACACGCACACACATGTACGTGAGTGTACGCATGCACACATATCTGAAACATGGTAAAGCGTGATGGTCTGATGAAGCGAAGTTCTGCACACAGAGTCCTCTGATCTAGTTTTTATACTTGCCTATTAAACTAGTTCATCAAAGTTCACTGAAACTAACGTCGTCCCTACCTCTGGCTGCCCCCCGCCCCCGTAGCTGCAGCCCCTCCTTCCAGCCGGTCGCTTCTCAGCCACGGAGATGCGTTAAGTACCTGTGCTGCAGGCCAGGTCACCCCTCCTGAGAGGAGCACAGCAGGTTCCCTCAGCAGGGCGGGAGCCTCTGTGTCCCTGGGAGGGTGAGAGGGGCACCCCAGAGGGCCCCATCCTTCCCTTGGTGGCAGGCAGCTCTGGGAGAAGGCAAAGAGCTAGGGCTTTAGAGTTGGGAGAAAGCAGGTTCAGACCCAGCTCCACTGTGAAAGACTTCCTCGACCCCAGCAAATGACTCAGCCCAAGCCTCTGCTTTTGCAATGTTAAAGAATCACGCTTCTTTCTTCACAGGTGTGTATTCAGTGACCCAAATGATGTCCAAGAGACATTAAGGCGCTAAAAAAAAAAACAAAACAGAGGGAGTAGCTAGGCATAGTGGTGCACACCTGTAGTCCCAGCACCGGGGAGGGTGAGGCAGGAGCATCGAGGAGACCTTCAGGGCCAGCCTGAAATACACTGCAAGGCTATGTGTCAAAAAAAAAAAGCTGCTCAGAAGAATATAAAATACATGATCCGTGAAAGAAGCCACCACGAAAGGTCAAATACACGAGGGTCCCAGAGGAGTCAAATTCAGAAGCAGAGAGCAGGAGGAGCAAGGAATGCAGAGATGGTTATCTAATGGGGACAGAGTTTCAGTCCTGCAAGATCAAAGTTTCTGGAGGTGAGGGTGAGGGTGGCCACATGAGAACACACAGAACATCACTGACCTGTACGCTGGGACCAGGGGAAGATAGGAAATCTTATGTTATATGGATTTTAAAATAATAACAACAATCGGGGAAAAGAGTATGGTTCAGTTCTTAGGGTCAGGGATACAGCTCAGCAGCACAGTGCCTGCCTCGCAAGCGTGAGACCCTGAGTTTGATTCCTGTTACAAAAAAAAAAAAAAAAATAAAAAAAAAAAAAAAAAAAAAAAAAAAAAAAAAATTCAAGAACCAATTCTTGTTTTAAAAAATCCTATCAGTAAAAAACTTACTCCTGTAAATATAGATCAATCCAGAAAGCTACACATAAACCACAGGTGGTTACGCTGAAGAGTGGGTGAGACCGTGGTGGGTGTCTACGCTGCACATTCTCCACTATTTAAATAGGGCATGTTTATGAGAAGAAAAAAATTACTTGCAAAAAATCAAAAGATCTTCCTCACTGTGTGGTTTCTGAGGACCATAAAAGAATTACAGCTGCCACCCATGATGGTAAAGGCCAGCCCTGTGCCTCCTGCCCTAACCTGTCACACTCAGCAGCCGCCACAAATGCCCAGGGGAGCTCAGATCTGAGTCCAAGCCGTGATACTCTAATGCCAGCCCCACCACTTCCTCACAGGGCCTTGGAGCTCAGTTTTCTCCACTCTGAGATGGGTCCATTACAGCTGTGCACTCGGCCATTGAGAGCTGAGGGTAAGATAACATCCTGTGCGTCAATTCAAAGTCATTCCACACCCCACCATCGCAGAAGACCCTTCCAGAACTCGGCAGGGACAGAGCCGGGTGACAGCTCAACCCTAAATGCTCAGACCTCCGAGCAGGGCCAGATCGCCGGGCTCCAGGTCCCAAGAAAGGACCAAGGGTGGAGAGCTGGCCATCTGCTCTCAGAACCAGCCTGCAGGGCCTACCCTGGTCCACAGATTCAAGCCCTTTTTCTTTTCTTTTTTTTTTTTGTTTTTTTGAGACAGGGTCTCACTATGTAGTTGAGACTGACCTGAAACTCACTATGTAGCTCAGGCTGGTCTCGAACTCACAGTGATCCTCCTGCCTCAGCCTCCGGAGTGCTGGGATTACAGGCATGCCCCACCACACCCGGCCAAGCCCTTTTTCTTTTTAAGAGATGAGGTTTCCTACGCTGCCCAGGCTGTCCCCAAAGTCCTGGGCTTGAGCAATCCTCCCACCTCAGCCTCCCAATTCACCAGGACTACAGATGTGCACCACCTCGACAGGCTTCAATTTCTTCTTAATCCTTACAGCCAGGAAAGGGAGTCAAAGAAATGGCAGCTGCTCTCTGTCCAGCAGGAGACCACACATGCATGCCCCTCCATGGCCCGCGGAGGGCCAGGCAGTGCCCACACCTGGGCAGCAGGCCGTGGGGAGGTGGCCAACAGACGGGGCACAGAGAGCCTTTTGTTAAAGCACAAACAGAGCCGCAGTGCCGGTGGGAGGCTGGCGCCCTCCTCTAGCCCAGAGGGAGGCCAACCCCACTCTCCCAGGGAAGGGGCCCTGTTGGAGCTGGCTGTGAATCTGCTCTAGTTCTTGTGCTTCCTCCGGTCCCAGAGCCAGGAAGGGGAGGGCAGAAGAGGTCTCAGCAACATCTGGCACACTCAGCCCCCACTCCCCAGCCGGGTGAGTCAGAGGCTGCGGTCTGGGGGTGCTGCGGGCTGGGGACTCACCCTGCACAGAAGGGCACACCCTCACTTCCTGGGGAAGGCCGAGGGGAGCCAGTATCGGTTCCAAGCAGCTAACTCTCAGGTTCGGGCTGGGCTTTCCAAACAGGTTTGGCCTTGTGGACTCTTGCCAAGGTGTGGCCTGCCGTCCAGGGTGAAGGGTGACAGGTAAGGGACACCTTCCGCCCAGGACTCCCCTGTGGACACCCAAGCTCAGGACATGGGAGCAGCTGGCCAGCTCCAGCTCAGGGCTAAGCACGTCCTGGGCTTCGGCTCCCCCTCCTCAGCCAGACCAGGAAGGCGACTCCTCACTCACCAGTGTGACCTTGGGAAAGTCACTACCCCACAGGGCTGATTTCCCTACCCAGAAGCCATACAAGTCTACTCCTAAGGCCTGAGGCAGGGAATGAACAAGGTAGTCCCCAAAGCCTTCCAGACAGGACAGCGCCTGCCTCTCCGTGAGTCTGTTATGTTTGCTACTATTGCTATTTTGCTCGAGATAGGGTCTTGCTACCTTATGCTGGCTGGCCTCAAACTCATTAGGTCAACTGATCCTCCTGCCTCAGCCTCCACAATAAGCAGGACTATAGGCATGCACCGCTGTGCCTGGCACTTTGCTGCCATCACTCTCTTTCTCTCTTTCTTTCTAAAAGGGTCTTGCTATGTAGCCCAGGCTGGCCTTGCCCTCACAGCGATCCTCTGGCCTCAGTCTCCTGAGTGCTGCTGTTATTCTCCTGAAAGTTCACTGGTCCCTTTGCAGTGCGATGTCTGAAGCCCTCGAAGTGACCTACCTAAGGCCACCCAGCTGGACGGGATGGGAAGATCCACCAGATCCGACCATTGTGCCGACCTGCCTCTCAGGCAGCAAGCAGGTACCCTGGGCCACTCCTGTTGCTGAGGGGTCATGAACAGGGGTGCCTAGCAGGCCACACTAGGATGCCTCCGGTTTTCCAAGGGTTAAGAAAACCTGGGGAGAACCCAGCTCCTGCTCTGGGCTCCAGGGGCTGAAGAACCTTAAAGACACTAGGCGCCTTCCTCTGCTGCTCCAGTGTGGCCACCAATACCCTGGAGAGGCCGTGCCGCGACTTCCACTGAGGTCCCAGGGGCTGGGCACTGGTCAGCCCCGAGTGGGCTGCTGTCCCAGGGAGCCACTGGGGAGATGCAAGGACTCCCACTCCACCCCATACCCACAGCACACGAGTCACATCTTCAAGGTGGCAGTCCCAGGGCACGGGCTTGGCAGCTGCGCCGCCAAGCTGTCCAGGTAGCACGTGAAAGCCTGGAATTTTACAGCCACTTTTACTCCAGGAAAATGTTGCTCCAGGCGTGAGGTTGTATTGCAGCAAGCAATTTAATTTTGAGGTTTCAAGCTCTCAAGAGACGTTTAGATGCTAGAACTTGCTGCGAGACACAAATGCAGCAGAAAGGCATCGGGAGAGGCAGCAGGGCAAGCTGTGGCTGGGAGTAAAGTCCTTCTAGGTAGCTTAGCCCCACATACCTTTGACAAGGGAAGGTTAAGAGTTCCACAACACACACACACACACACACACACACACACACACATCACTAAAAAATAAACATCCAAGCTGGGGATGGTAGCACACACCTGTAATCCCACGACTTGAGAGGCTGAGGCAGGAGGAGTGCCAGGAATTCAAGGCCAGCATGGGTTACACAGTGAGATCCTGCCTCAAAAAACAAAAGTAAGTCAGTCCGTCCCATCCTGGTCCTGGGTGGGAGTGCAGCCCCACTCCCAAGGCCTGGGTGTGCACAACAGGAAGCCTTATGCAACAGGGACAGGGCCTTGAGAATGAACCCAGCCAGCGACCCCAAGGCATCCTCAAAAGCCTGAGAGCACAGAGAAAAAGAAGCAGCACGGCCAGGGAATTTAGCTCAGTGGTTCCACCACCAGCCTCATAAGCACAAGGTCCCAAGTTCAATCCCCGGTACCATTAAAAAAAAAAGAAGCAGCAGAGTGAAGTACAGAGCACACGCCACCAAGCCACACAGATCTGGCTCCGTCCTGGCTGTCATTTACAAGTTGCAAGACCTGGTTAGGAGATCCCACCCCTCAGGGCCTTGGTCTCACAACTCTGGAAGGACCTCAGCACCGGCGACCTGCACTCAGACAGCAGCACTGCACACACTCATGGGAGGGGCTAAGTTAAGATGCAAAGTGTCACCTCCAGAGGGGCCACCCTGAAGGCTCTCTGACAGGCAGGGTCTCCTGCGAGAGGCAGACGTGGCTGGGGACGGGGAAGGGATGTGGCGTGGGCGGAGGGGTGGCAGAAGGAGCCTGAGGAAACTGCCAGCTGAGGCAAACATCAGAAGCCCCGCAAAGATTCATTTCCAGCTGGGTCTCACCAGATGCCACTGGGCCTCAAAGTGAGGCTGCTGCGCCTTACAGATCCCCTTGCAGAGCCCACCCTGAGGTCGCCTTTGCCCCCAGGAAGCAACTTTCCTCCGAAGTCCCAAGGGCCCTCCCGCTCCCCATCATCCTGGCTGATGCCTGAAAGATGCATTCTAAAAGGGAAACTGAGTCAGGGCCAGGCTGTCCCTGAGGGGCTGGGAAGGGAAAGACTCAGGTACATACAACCCAGAGTCCACTCACCAGCGGTGTGTGTCCCCACCCCAGGTGGCTGTGCCTCTGGCAGAGGGCAGAGGCCGAAGCCTGCAGGTCCAAGCCCGAGGCCAGCTGTCCCCTGCCTGGCGTCCCCAGCACCGAGGAGGAATTCCTGCCTCACATAAGCCAGACCCACTGTCCTGCTCGGCATGCATACAGGCTTCAGCTCAGGACTCCCCTGTCTGGGGACAGAGAACTCAAAACCAACAGGAAACCCCTGCAGGGCAGGGCCAGCTTCACAGACCTTGTCCTAATAAACAGGCGAACAGCCTGCTTCACACACCAGGCATTTCCGCCTCCCTCCGCTGCTGAAACACGCAGTGGACAGCTGGCCAGAAACACCTGCACGGCCAGGGGAGGACCTACCCCCGCATTCGGAATCTGCCCTGACCACATCTGTCTGCCTTTGGCCTTCGGAAGATCTGGGAGCTGTCATTCTGTGTGCAACAGAAGCAAGCTGCTGACTGGCAGCTCCACCAAGACCTGATTTCTGTGAAAGCGGACACGCTGCAGTTACGGAGGTGAGGCGTTACCCCCCATTCCCATCTCCGAAGGTGAGGAGCAGAGGAGATGCCCCTTTCCCCACATCTACATCCAGGATGGCGCTAGAGATGGGTGCCCCAAGTGCAATCCAAAACCCACTGAGTTATCACAAACTGCCAACACTGCAATTAAACCTGAACACTGAGGCTGGAGTTAGCAGAAACAACTGATGCGTTAACATCTGGTGTCTTCAAAGAAAGACACAGGGACACCCAAGCCAAAGGTTTGCCACCACTGGTACGAGGCCCACGACGAGCCTGCAGCTACCCTGGCAATCAAGAAAACTGCCCCAAGCTTCCCACTGCCCTTCAAGCCCTGGGGAGGGAGGTGCAAGCCCTGCTTTGGGCAAAGCTGGGTGGGCAGTGGATGCGGAGAGGCCTCAGGCAGGGACGGAGGACCTGGCCCAGCAGGGGACAGTGAACAGCGTCCAGAGTGCTGCGATCACATGAGCCAGTGACGCGAACACGCTCTGCACGTTACCCAGGACTCTGCCCCCACCACCTCTGATCGGGGCTTGGCCCTCTTTTCGTCAGGGTATTTAATCCTCAAAACGTCCTGTAGCTAGGTGCTAATATCCTGTATTTTTGGGGTCCTCGGGATGCAACCCTTTCCCAAAGCCACAGCCAAGGCACTCAGCCCCCAGATGTCTACGTGGCCGAGCCGGTGTGGGAAATCAGCCTTGCTCTCTGCCTCTCGTGTTCACTGTGCTCAGCTCAACACACCCGAGTCTCTGATGAGTCCCGCGGAGGCACAAGTCGCCCGCCATTTACGGAATCAGTGAACTGCCGCAGCAAACGAGAACAGGATCCCACAGAACACACCTGGGACAAGGGTCACGGGAGCATCATTAGTAATCCAGACTGGTAAGAACTGGGGCGAATGAAGAAAAAGTAGGGTTCAGCGCAACACATCAGCCTTCAGAGAGCACGGTGACTGGACGCGCTGAGTGAGAAGAGGAGACAGTCTGTCTTCAGGCCCCTCTGTCCCTGGTCCCTGGGCCTCCACTGCTGAGCCCATGGGACCGAGGAGCTGAAGATGCTGCCCTCGGCCCGGGGTGAGCTGCCTTACCCCTGGCTGCTATCTGCGTGTCGGTGGGAGGTGCTGAGGCCGGTGCACATCCGTCTGCACAGGGTCCGGGCATCCCTTCTGCTCCATGGGCGCTGCTGCCCTAGGAGGAAGCAAGAGCTGCTGTCAGTAGGCATGTGAGACTGGGCCGGGATGCAGGGCAGAAGGAGCTCCTGGGACAGGGAGCCTCACACACAGAACCTGGTCCTCCGGGAGACGCCACGTCAGCCCTTCCAATCTGGAGGGCTGTGCCAGGGGAACCCGGGAGAAGCAGGAGACCCAGATGAGCAAGGACCTGGGAGACCTCCTGGAGGAGTGGGAGGAGCACTCAGGCAGAGGCACACTGCATGTTTGCTTGGAGGGAAGAGAACGGCCATCCACGGAATATTGGGCGTCCCCCCGCCAGGTCTCGAAAAAGACAGGGAATTGGCAGGACAAGAACTACAGGGAGGATGAGCCGGGCAGGACAAAGACTGTGACTGAAACACAAAGCACACACTTCACCCATCGGTCAGTAAACACAGTGCTCGTCCATCACAACTGCACCCGAGAGAACGAGACAAGTAGGCAGAGGGGGAAAGCAGCGTATGCTCTGCTCCATACCCAGGGTCAGCAGTGAAAGGAGCTGGGGCTGACTGTGGCAATAACCGCTGGGGAGGGCCCCGAGTCAGCCAGGAAGGCAGGGCTGGGCTCCGTCCACCACATCCATCCCATGCGGGTCCCCATGAAGTCTCGGCCTGTCCGTCTGGGCCTCGGTTGTCCACATGCGAAAACCTGGGATGACTCCCACGCAGGAGAAGAAGCCGAGCTGACTCCTTCCCTCCCGCTCCTAAAGGCAAACCTCAGGCCATGTCAGGCAGCAACCTGAGCCCATTTACCACCTTTACTTCCGACCCACGGGGACAATTCCTCCGCAGCCCCACTTTCCAGAAAGGCCACTCAGGGTTGCACAGCAAGCTGTTTCTCGCTGGGCGTGCCCAGGAAACAGAGAACAAATGCATCTGGTAGAGTTCTGGGGCTGGACAAGTCACAAACATTTTTTGTCACCCGCTCCAAGGCCCAAGGCACCAGACCCCATCCCAACCCCAAACAAGCTGAGACCTGAACACGGAGAGGCAGGGCCAGCCGCTCATCCCCAGCATCTCCACAGCAGCCAGTCCTCCAGCACAAGCCACCTGTCCTCGCCTCTCCTCCCAGCCACAGGACACTTGACCTTCACAGGAGACCACGCCAGACAGACTGATCCAGGGGCACTGCCCAGGGCCTCCAGACACACTCCCACTCCCTTCCCCTGGTGGGAAGCAGCACCTGCAGCGGGGGTCTATCCATCTGCCACTTTGCTCCAGAGCGCAGGATACAGTTTGGCAAGAGTTCTAAGCACTACAAATAGGAAAGGGGGAAGAGGTCCTCCGAACTTTCGGCTCCTCCAAGTCTTTGCACACACACACACACACACACACACACCCGCCTTGACCTTCCCTCATCAAGCTCTCTGCCTCACAGCTCCTCAAAGGCACTCTAGGTGGAGCAGAGGAAGAAGAGGGAGTGGAAGTGTGACTCGCCCAGGACCCACCCCACCCAGCCCAGTCCCCATTAGGAAGAGGCTGCTGCCACACACAATCCCCAGCCACACCTCTTTCCAAAAAAGGCCACGTATCAGCGGAGAACCAGCCCAATCTTGGTTTGCTCCATTCCAGAACAAGGAGAAGGGGCGGTCGTCAAAGCAGCATAATCATCACAAACCCCACGATGCCCAAGCTCCGGTCCCTCAGCCTGGGGCCAGCGTGCTGGATCTCCAGCTCACCTAGAGAGCGGGGCCAGGCAGTGACCTCACTAGATCTGCAGGGCCCGCCCCTGTGCACGCGGCGGACAGGGGCAGGAGCTGGGGTCTCAGACTCCAAACCAATCATCCCCAGAAACCCAGCCCAGACAAGGTCCCAGACCCTAGGCAGTGACCCTGCCCCCGTGTCAGGGCACTGTCCCCTCCGGATCAAGAGGTGGACCGGTTCAAGGATAGAAGACGGGGCGAAGAACCTAGGAGAAGAGACCTGGGGAACCTATGAAAACGGAAAAGCTGGCAAACTGTGCCGAGAGGTGGAACCTCCGGGAAAGGGGGAGTGTGTAAGGAGAGGAGGGCATCCGGGACCCAGGAGATGACAGGGGGAGCCGGGGAACCGCGCGGAAACTCAGGGTAGGAGGACGCAGGAGTACGGGGTGCCCGCAGGG